CCACTGCACCATACCTCCACCGCGCACAACAACTCACACCACCACCTCCACCGCACACCACTCACAGCGCCACAGAATAGATGAACTCTCAGCAGTGAAGCCCTCGACCGCTGACGACGTTGCTGAGAACTCTCAGCAGCCCTCAATCGTTGCACAGTGAAGAGCAGAGACGATCAGGCACAGAGAAGCTGCCGGTGAAGAGCGGAGGCGATCTCCACCAGTGAAGCCCTCTTGTCGGCGACAATCTCCGAGTGTTATTTGTCAAGCCCAGTGAAGCCCTCTCCTCGGCGGCGATCTCCACCAGTGAAGCCTCTCCTTAGCGGCGATCTCCACCAATGAAGCCCTCTCCACCGCCGGTTGTTATTTGTGATAGAGAGAATGGAGAGAGAGAGAGAGAGAGAGAGAGAATAAGGTCAAATGATTAGGGTTTGGAATAATTGGGTGGAGATATTTAATATTTAATTATTATATTAATACCTGATTTACGAATAATGAAATTTTAGACCTGATCTTTAAACACCTGGTATTATGTAATTTCCTCATGAAATTTCCTTTGATTCAATGAATAAAAATCCAAAATTATGCCTTGCCTATTTGGACAACCCAAAAGAATTGGAGAAAAATTCAAAACTAAGAGGTTTAATTTTATCCATTTCAAATTTAAGACATCAAGGTTTAAAATTTAAAATTTAAAAATTTTTAAGGTTTAAAAATTCAAATCTCATTTTTTTAATTAATTAATTAAACATATATTTTATTAATTAAATATATTAATATCATAAATTCCATATAATTAGTCACAAATAATAAATTTTATGTCACAAATTATTTTATGATCACAATTCAAAAATTTTATAGATCACAATTTGTTTATCGGTCACAAATGAAAAATTGAAGTCACAAATTATTTTACGGTAACAATTAAAAAATTTTATATGTCACAATTTGTTCATCAGTTACAAATAAAAAAATTTATACGTCACAACTTGGTCNGTTCATCGGTCATAAATAAGAAAATTTATACGTCACAACTAGATCGCAATTGTATACAATTTGGTTACAAATTCATTTAACGGTCACAAATCAAAAATTTTATAAATTACAATTCATTTATCAGTCACAAATCACAAATTTCATAAGTCACAATTCAAATTTTTAGGTCACATATTATTAATTGGTCACAATTTATCGGTCATATGTTATTTGTTAGTCACGGAAGACACCAAATTAAATGGTCATAATCTTAAATAATTGGTCACAAATAACGGATGGCAAAAATATCTATTCAACCCGAAACCCGTGGGGCCCCGTCCTGAATGAGGCGGTGATTACCTGCCTAATCGGATAAACGGGGCGGGGATGGGATGGGGGTCATTGCCTCGAAGCGGGTATGAGGCGGGTACGAGAATCATAGTCCTCGCCCTGCGCTCGCTACCCGTCCTGTTTAAAATTAATTTTAAATTTAAATTTTTTATCAATAAAAAATAATAGATTTATTATATTTTTAAAGAGAACATAAGTTGTTTCTAATAAATTGATAAAAAAGTAATAATATTTATTAAGTAAAGATATAAAAAAATAAATGGGGCGATAAATGGGACAAATGACCTGCCCCGCCCCACCTCTATCTCACCCCAAACCCGCTACGTCCCCCTTTAAACGGCTATGGGAATGGGGCAATATAACAAAACTCACCCCAAATTTTCCCCATATCGCAATCAATAAAACTCACACAACCAACAAAACCTCGACACCAATTTGTAGCCAAATTTTTCTCAAATCCCTCATCATTCACGGTAGTGATGCCACATCGGCGATGAACATTGCAGAGCAGCCGTTGCAGCAGCGCCGCTCATGCCAAACTGCAGCGACAATGTTGACTCGGACCCAAGTCACTCAATTCAAGCTATCCGAGAACAAATATTATGGTCAAATAACACGTCGGCAAACTCGATGCCGAGTAACAGTTTTGTGCAGCGGGCAGAGGCTATGGGGGTTGAAGGAATGTCCAAAAACTTTATAAGTGGGTTCAAACCAGATCTGGTACCAGTTTATTCTAAGTTGGCGAACGAGTTCACAAACATGGATAGGTGGTTTGCCTAGGTGCCTGCTTCGACTCGGCCCAACCGTTTGCTGTGTCGCCTCCGCTGGTGACGGAGAGAAAAGAAGATAGTGAGGAGAGAGAAAACGAGGGATGACACCGTCGCTCACTGCTATGGTTGCGGCGGAGGTGTTTGCTGTGTCGCCGCCGGTGGTGACGAAGAGAAGAGGCAGTGAGAAGACGGAGAGAAGAGAGTGAGGAGAGAGAAGAATGAGAGACAAGAGAAAAGGTAGAAAATGTTTGCCAGTTTGAAATGAAATTAATTAGGGTTTAGAATGAAAATTGTATAATTAATATTTAATATTTAAAAATGAAATATCAGATTTTGGAAAGATGAAACTTGAGATCTGATTTTGGATATGGANTGAATATGGATCTTAAAAATTAGGGTTTTGTGTAATTTCCATAAAGAATTGTTATCCACACAAATGTAAACGAACCTACTTACTACACGTATAACAACGATTTTTTTTTTTTTTGTCTCCAAATGGATTATTTAGCCCCCGCTTGATATAGATTTGGTGAACTGTAATTTTTTTGAAAAATGTAATATTAAAGGCGTGTTCGGTAGAGATTAAAATTAAAAAATTAGCTGTTATTATTGACTTTTATTAGACGAGTGAGATCCAATAACGACTATATTTTCAATTTTAATAGGATTTTAAGCTTAGTCAAACATGCTCTAAAGGAAAAAAAAAATGTATTGATCAATGTGTAAAATTTTACCATTGGGATGACGTTTATTTAAAAATATATATTTTTTGAAAAGTAAGGGTAAAACAAGAACTTAAGTATGTTGATTCATGTCGACTTAACGATAAATAGATCAAATTAAAATCTTACTTATAATAGTTTAATAAAAAATAAATGAAAAGAAGACACGGAGTATTCTAGATAAAAAGTATTTATCAACTTGGTCATATTACGAATGAAAGATGTTAGGCAAGAATATCTAGAATTTTTGTAATGGTTGAAATTTAACTGCTCTATAAAGGATGACATAAATATCTAGACATTAACAAGTCACAATCTATGTATGAATTTAGAATTTAATTCAAATTGTATTAAAGGTAAAGCACCAGAAAGCGTAATTATAAATTTTGTAGCACATTGAAGTTTCGGTTACTTGTCTAAATAAGTTGATCATTTAAGATAGAAGTCAAGTTTTGATGCTATCGGAGCTCGACAAATTCAAATGAGTACTTAGATTCGATTAAGACTCAGGTGAGGACATGAATTTCATATTAGTATTTTCAAACGAGTCACAATCTTGAAGGTGAATATTAAGGAAATATCTCGAATTGAATAATAATAATAATAAAAAATAAATACTAGTTTAACATAATATGAGCAAAATATAGCATATTTAATAAATAATATTAATAAAACTACATGATCTAAACTCATTTTTAATCACACATTCTCTAATAACATAATTTTACACAATAAATCCAATTTTATTTTTTATTTTTTAATCATATATTTTTCAAAAAGTCATTATTCCAAAATACATTTCTCCCAAAAAATGAATCTCAAAAGGGGCTAAATAAATATTTTTAATTGATCAAAATAAAAAGTGACAAAATTTTGATTTAGGAGTAATTTTACATTACTCCTAAAAAGTGACAATATCTTAATGTATGCAATGATCATTCTTTAATAACCTAAGATGGTAGATAAGATGGTTAAAATAAAATTAGATGGACCCAAAAAATGGGATTCAGATCTTGTCAGTGCCCCATTTGTAAATCATTGTGCTAGTATTAATTTTCAATCTTCAGAAAAAAAGTTTAAACCTTTAGATCCAGGGACACAAGATATTAAAGTGATAAAAATTTTACATATAAATACGGGTCGCAAAAATTTTAAAAGTCATTTTTTTTTCTCAAAGTCGTTTTCAACAACACTTTTTATGGTACTCAACTTTTATCAACCACACACGTCGTTAACTTTTATCAAAATCTACTAAAAATTTTATTTTTAGATAAACCAAACAGGGACTTAAACAAACGCATCCGTTCATTTTTAACCAGTATTAGATGAAATGGTTAAAATCTTTTAATTAATAAATGAAGTAAAGATAAAGTGAATGTTATTAATGTAACATAATTTTCATTTTATCCATCAAACCAAGACAAAAAGTGAAGTATTTACTATTTATTTACACTGAAATGAAGTGGAAATACATGACCAAGCGGAGAGTGTGATTGCAAAATTTAACCAACCTAGAGGATTGAGAGGGGAAAGGAACAGCTGAGAAAAAAAAGTTGGAGACTAATCATACAATTTTCCAAATTATTACGAACAGCTGAACATAAATGCATAAAAAAAACAGTTGAACATAATGACTGACTTTACTTACTTTTGAACACGATCAAGCGTACAAATAGATTATGTGAAAAACATGTTTAAGATTATGCTTTAGAATGGAGGCATTTGAACACATGAGAAGACGCTAAACTACTGTTGAAAAAGGTGGCCAAGCAGAACCAAACATAATTTAGGTAAAAACCGAATGTGATTAACCTTAAGACTGGTAAAAAAATCACGGATTAAATCAAATATCATCGTAGAAGCATTTCTTGAAAGCACCCAAGTGATCGTGGTACAAATCAAATATCATCGTAGAAGCATTTCTTGAAAGCACCCATGTTTTCTTCTTGAAGCCATATTGCTACATTGAAAGATCCATCTCCATCATGGCTAGGGATTATGAAAGTTTTTCCATCAAAACCCATTGATCCAGGCCCCATATGGATTTCCTTGCCCCATCCGAAATCGGCGCCGTACAGCGGCAGCGCCGTCCAGCTGATTATAGCCAAATTGGGGTTTCCATAGAAATCTCCCTTCGGACGGCCATTGTTGTCGAGAGAACGGAATCGGCCAACGTCGGGTAATCCCTTGAGGAAATCGAGGTACCCTCGTACAGTCTCATCTGTCACTTTTTCCACGGCAGCGCGTATTTTATGCGCCGCTGCGCCGATGGGAGTTGACAAGAGGTTGCCGGAGGTGTCTGCGGCTTCAACGCGGATGAGAGCGTTGCCAAAGAAGTTTTTGGGCAGTGGTGGCCGCAATTTGTTGCGGAAATCTGCGACGAAGTGGAGACTCGTCGGCTGCTCCGCCACATGCCGCCTTGCCTTGCTGGTACACCGCCAGATATGGGCGGCGACTGCTTCAAATCTACTATACCCGCGGCTGTTTCCGGCTTCCAAATTCAGATTCTCGCTGGCTTTGTTTCGGAGTTTTTCAATCTGAGTTTTTTTCAGATTCAGAAAGGCGACGGTGATCGGCTTCTTCCGCTGCTCCATGTTATCTTCTTCGCCAAGCAGCGACGGCGGTGGGCGGAGCACCGACGGGTCGAACTCTGCAGCCAGTGGTTTATCTGTTTCCAAAACCTTCCTGTCAAGAAATGGCGGAATAATGGGCTCTGCGCCCCTCGCAATCTTTGCCCATTCATCGACAAAATGCAAAGCACTTGGCCCATCTGCCATGACGTGGGATACACCCAACCCAATGCTAACGCCTCCGCATTTAAACCTGTCCCAAGAAAATCCCCACAACACTTTAAAATTTAAGTAGTTCATTCGGTTTTTCTAGCATTTAAGCTAAGCTAAATAGGGAGAATCAATTCACTAATCAAAACTTCGATTACAAAAATTTCGAACCTGGTAAGTTGCACTATAACCAAAGGGATTTCGTCGATTGGAGTGGTGTAATCTACAGAGGGTATCAGGTCTTGGATTTCTGGGGTTGGGGTGAAATCCCCGAAATCCTCCACCGCCGCCTCTGACACAGCTTCATGAATAGGAACTCCTCTTCCATTGCAGTGGAGCTCCACCCGACTGCCGCCTTCCTCCGACCACTTCAGCCGCCCTGCCAGTGGATAAAATAACTCCAAAACCTTGCTCAATGAATCCCTCAATACACCAATAGCATCTCCATTATCCAACTTATCATTATTTCTGTAAAAATAAATTGTGGGTGTGTGTGTTATGTCCTTAATTTGATCACAAGCATTTAAATACATAATCTCTTCTGGGGTTGGCTCAGCAGGCTTTACAATATGAGTCGCCTTAAAGGTCACCATTTTCCCAATATAGAAGAAAGAGAGAATTGAAAAATGGCAATAACTAGCTAAGAAAGTAAAGCATTATATAAAGCAGAAGTTTGAACGTTTCTACGAGTCTACGTTAGACGTAACTCTCTCTTACGTTAGAAAATCAAATACTAAACCAATATTTTCGAGTTGGGTCTAGGGCAACCCGTTAAGCGACCCGGGTCTGTTTGATTCGGGTTCGTTTAACGGGTAAAATGTCCGGCCCTACAGTAATCGATGTGACAGGGTCCTTAGAACTTCATTAGTTACTTCTGGTCTAATCAATGTGAAATATTATTCTTTTTTTCTCCGTGGAATGAACACAAAAAACAAAAATAATTAAAAAAATTAAAGTCTTCCTCCAATACACAATGGAGTAAAGACAATTGAGTCATTTTCAATTACAAGAGGAAGCGAAGTAACACACGAAAATCACAGTGCTACCGCATATCTGCAATTGGGAAACTTTTTCATTCCTTTTTCGGATTCTTTGGTCCGATTTTTTATTTTTATTTTTTTGCGCATCATTCGTATCAAATGACTCTCTATGTTCATATATGCGCATGCTCACATTCAATGGGGTTGGGGCTTCGAGATTTAGTGAATTATTTTGAAAAATTATTGAAATAAAATAATCAAATTTAACGTAATTTGTTAGTGGACATTTTGACTTATTAACTTTCTGCGTCCAATATTTTATAATTTGGTTGCGGAAGACTTTAATCCGATGTATTAAATAAATATTTAATATATTACTTATGTTATCTGAAAAATTAAGTTATGTCACATTTATTTGTCTGAACTTAGATGGTCAATTAAAAGTATTATTAATATTTCCTATTTTTCTAAATAATTATTGATGATGTCGACATCAATCTAACTAATTTCTCGACATTATAAATGTGACGTGCCCACCAATGTGAATGTTTTAATGGAGGACAACTGGAGTTTGAATAGTATCTATTTTCTTTTTATATTTATTAATTACTTTGTCTGTCAATTTTTTTGTTAAATTAAATTAAAATTAAAATCTCAATCGGTATCAGACGGTGCCGGCAAGCAATGATGTGAAAAGTACACCTGGACTAGTTGGAAAGCGCAGTCTTCAAATAGTTAGATAATTATCTCTTTAGCCGCCATAAAAATTGGAGCAGAGTTAGGTGAAGTTTCTAGTGCACGTGCTTCACCGGTGTCTTTTGGATTTACTGATTTAGCCCTTTAAATGTGTGTCCTCGACCTAATTGGCGCGGAAATTATAATTAAGTGGTTATATTGGCAATATAATTTTTATTTTTTACACCACATTTTAATTGCAGTTAAATTCATAATTTTTATTCATTGTANCAAACGTGCATTGCACGTTGCTTGCACCTAGTATATATATATATATACAGAAATGATCTAATGAGCACCGGTGCTCATCTTATCCTAAGCACCGATGAGTTGGCATATTAATTCATTGGTGAATAAAGATTTTTTGAGTTCCAATCCACCAATGAATTAATGTGTCAACTCATCGGTGCTTAGGATAAGATGAGCACCAGTGCTCATTAGATCATTTCTGTATATATATATAGCAAGTAAGAATCTCGAAAATCATTATCTTCAATTCCTCTGCCTTATTTGTTGTACACAACCTGCATAGTTTCAATTAAATTAACAAAAATTAGGGTAAATCAATGTTACCTTTATTACCCTCATATTAAAGCCTAACATCATCTCTCACCATCATTGCTGTCTTCTACTACCACTACCCGATCTCCATTATGAATTGGTTGGATATCTTCAATCTCAATCATCTCATACTTTCTTTCTTTTTTTTCATTGGTGTTCTACAATCGTCAGCATCGCTCATTGATGTGTGTATATATATATGCGTTGAGACATGATGTGATGAGACATGATTGAAAGAAATTAACGGTTTACTTTCGGTTTATGCATGATGTGGTGAGACATGATTGAGTCAGAATTTTTTCAACTAAATAAATAAATAAAAATTTCTTCATTCTCTTTCAACACTTCCTCTATATGTTAACCATTATATAATGTCTTATGTACAAGTAACATTATTCTTATTACATAGGTCTAAGTTTGAACTTCATCAATATAATAATTACCGTCGTTATTTTGGTTTGGTTGGCGAGGGGAAGAAGATGAAATATTATGTTTATGATTATTTTAATTATTTTATGTGTAAATTTATAAAGTTATCGTTATGTCCTTTAAAATTAGGCAAAATGTAGTTATTTTTTTTAAGAAACCGTCCAAATGTCAAACCACTGCATCGAATCGAAAAATTTGAGATAGATGCGGCAACAAATAAAAAATTAAAATAAAAACTGCAATAATTTGACAAATTTGAGACATCGAACATTACTCCTAAAATGTATAGGTTAGAAGTAACAATTTTTCTGGATCCTCATTTCATTTGAACAAACAACAAATCCATGCAAGCGTTTTATTCATATTTTTGGTTCTATTTTAGAAGTTAGAACCCCAAAAATCCCATTATCTCCTTCAAATTTCAAAGGGATAATTGCAGTTGCGGTCCCAAACCTTTCAGATTTTTGCGCACTTTACCCTAACCTTTGATTTGTGCCAACGAAGGTCCCAAACCTTTAATAAATATGCGGCGGAGGTCCAAATGGATGGTTTCCATCCATTTGACCGTTAGTCAACCCAAAAAATCAAAATTAATTCAATTTTTACCAAATTGAAAAGGGCAAAATGGTACTTTCAATTTTCATCATTTTAAATAGGTTTAAATATTAATTAAAAACCAAAAAATAAAAAGAAATTATAACCCTTCTTCCTCCCCAGGCTCCCGACCGTCAGCACCTCCGGCCCGAAGCCGGCCACCACCGCCACCGGCAGGCACCACCCCACTCTCTCCACCCCCAAAACGCCACAACCACAATCAAATCAAAACCTAAACCCAAATTCACAATCAAACCAAAATCCTCAAAACAAAGCAATCCATCTCCATCAGAGTCCATCAGAACCACAGCCACCTTTGCGTCTGCCAACGACAACTCTCCTCCTCGGCCTATTGATTGAACACACTGCTGCAACTCTAAAGGGAAAGTAACAGAACAGATGGTAAAGAACAACAATAATCTTATGAAAAGCCCCTGTTTGACCCCCATTTTTGGTAAGTGATAAAACCCGAGCGTTCGCAATAGCCAAACGCATGCTGTTGGTCTGTGTGTGAAAGAGAGGGAAGCATTTTTTTGTTGTTCTTCTGCTTCTGCTTTCTGGGATTCCAAGTAAAGGGCTGTTTAATTCGAAAACAATTAAGAAATCATGGCCGCATTTTTCACCCCTTCTGTAAACCCAGTTTTTTGTTCAACCCACACACCCAGTTTTTTCAGGATCTCACCTGAAACCATGGCCGCATTTGGGAGATAAGGGGCTGCACCTGTTAATCTGGGACCTATGCACCTAATTCTGGTGGCTCCGCCTCCGCTGCCGCCAGTGGAGTGGGTTTCTTCCTCCTTTTTCTCCACTGGGGCCTCTGGTTCAGGCGGCGGGAGTGGAGTGGGTTTATTCCTCCTTTTTCAACACAGGGAATGGTGGATTTGGGAGGTGGTTTTGGGCGGCGTGGGGGCTGAAGGCTTTTTGGTGTGGAGGATAAAGGCTATTGCCGACACAGAGGCGGAGGCGGTGGTGGTGCCGGCACAGAGGTTGTGGTGGTGCCGGCTGCCATTGTTGTTGGAGAGGAATAGAGAGTTTTTTATTTTTTTTCTATTTTTTTGTTTATTTATGTAATTTGTAAGAATAAGTAAAATTCCTATTTTGCCCTTTTCAATTTGGTAAAAATTGAATTAATTTTGACTTTTTGGGTTGACTAACGGAACCATCCATTTGGACCTCCGCCGCATATTTATTAAAGGTTTGGGACCTCCGTTGGCACAAATCAAAAGTTAGGGTAAAGTGCACAAAAATCTGAAAGGTTTGGGACCGCAGCTGCAATTATCCCAATTTCAAATGCTATTATTTCATACAAAAAATTTCATGTAAAATGGTGCTCAGAGGAACAAAAGGACAGGTAAATTGAGGGCACCAATTAGAGGATGCTAAAACTTCAACAACAGACACAAACTCATACTATAAGCAAATTTAAGTAATTTGGTTGCTTTAAAAATGTTGATTTTCACTTAATAATGACCCTGGAAAAAACTTTGGAAATTTTTCTTAAATTTCGTAGAAAATAAGAACTGGATTTTTTTGTCGCGTCATATTTTGATGATTCGTGAAGATTGCTATTTTCTTGATAATTAATTGAGTAATCACTTATTCTGAATATTATCAAATTCCCATGTACATTCCTCAGTTTAGAACTTCTTTATGGGGGAGAAAGTGGGAGAAATCATTCCCCACAGGAGGAATTCCTCGTGTATCCAAAATATTCTCGCGCCCTTCATGTGAATTTCTTTTGACACGAATGGGCTATTAACTTTTGCTTTAGGCAAGGACGCATATATTTTGAATAAGAGGAGCACAATCAAAATATGTACAAATTGAATGATTCGTACTTGACCCAAGAAAATTCAGATTTACATTTAAAAAATATTTCTTCATTAATATTTTGCTCATCACAAGAAAATACATATTTATATTTTAAAAAATTACATTTTATTTGATACAAACAATCAATTCAAGTAATCGAAAGGAAAAACATATAACTAATATTCAATATTAATAAT